AGATCATTTAGGAGTTCGATGACTCCCTTAAGCGTCCCTCAGTTGTAGCTGGGGACGGAGAACCCGAACGCGAAACATGGGAGCCTGAAGGTATTAGTGTTAGGAAAGATACTGGTATAGGGACTGGGCTCGTCAGTCAAGTATTGATAAGGAGCCTGAGAAGAGTCCGAGGACTCTGAAGCGTGCTTGCACAGTAAAACTTCATGGTGGCTGGGCACCACAGCTGGATTTGAAACCAGTGCCTGAATACCATTTCCCCTAGAGAAAGATGGTGATGCTGCAGGAATAGAGATAGAAACCAATCGTGGAACCGAGGCAGAGTATTGTGACTGGTTCTGCAAAGGTATCGAAGAGTGCAAGCATGAAGGTGGTTCTCGTTCTGAATGGACGATTACAAGTTTAGAAGCATTCCAAACTGATCCATCACTGAGCTTAGATGCCTGGGATCCCACTGCCGACATAACGCTAAACAGACCTCTATATTTGTGTTTTTTCCCTGGAACACGTACTTTGACTCTTGGCCAACCTGAATGACTGGAGATTTGGCTCCTCGCTTCTGATCCACATAGTTCTTCGTGTACTCCTACCTATGAAAAAATCGCGTCCTTATGGTATTATCCAAAATTGACTGCAAAGTAGAAGGCAACGGCAGATCAATTATGTCAACCGCTGTGTGAGGTTGACGCTTATGAAGCAACATCTCGGGAGACGATCCCGTAGTTGCCTGAGCAGAAAAACGGTAAGTACTCTGTAATTGCCTTCTTTAGAGGACGTTGGGCTGGTTGAATGTACTTTTTCAGGACCCTGTCGAACCACTCAACCTGCCCATTCGCTTGAGGATAGTATTGATTAGTGGAGTTTACTGGTGCAAGGGCCAGATGTGGCCAATGAGCGCCAAAGCGATGATAATGAACTGTGCGATGTGCAATGTTGATAAAACAGATGTGACGTGGCTGTAAACGGGCCTAAAAACAGTCGCTGTAGGTGCGTAAAAATATATATATATAGTAAAATTATGGCAATGACAAATGATGTATGCTATGGAGACATAAAATGGTTTAAAAGCGATATGTATGTGAAATAAAAACTTGGCATGGAGCACCAGTGCCTTGACAGAGCCCTTAAAACAAGAGCATGGAGGCCTGGGCTCATTGAAAGCTGCTATCACAGCGGCATCCTCTGAAAAGGGGATGCACTATGAACCTGTTGGGCTAAAAACATTCAATGTTGGGCTAAAAACATTCAATACTACATCCTTTAAAAAGCTTCAAACTGATTTTGCATCAAAAAGCGGCTCTTCACCGAGAAACATAATCGGATGTAAAGGAAGATTGTAGCGGTATGCTAAAGCAAAATATTTTTTTTCTCTCACTTTCAGATTCTGGACACTCCAGGAGGACGTGGAGGACGGTTAGCCTCTCACCACATCTACCACAAGTAGGAGGTTCATCGCCAGTCAGCAGAAAGCTATGGGTACCATAAGTGTGTCCTATTCTGAGGCGATAGAATAGGACATCAGTTCATCGTGTTCTTGTAGCGGAGGGCCAGTAACCCAACCGCGGCTTAATCAAGTGAAGCTTATTATTTATTTCTGTGTCTCACAAGCATTGCCAGTGGTTTCGCAGTTTCTTACGTAGGAAGGGTTTTAGATCTGTTGTAGGAACAGTAGCGGTGAAGTTAATAGCGCGCAATATAATTGACGTGGCCATTTGGTCAGCTAACACATTGCCCTCGATGCTTCTATGGCCAGGAACCCAGCAAATAGTAACATGCTGGTAGGACATATACGCTGTACACAGAACGGAATACAGCTCAATTATTACCGGATTTCTGAATCTGAAAAGGGATCTTAATGAATTTACTATGCTTAATGAGTCTGCGAATATAATTGATTTTTGTATATTTGATTTCCGTATATGCTTCACAGCCGACAATAGTGCATAACCCTCAGCCGTAAATATACTTGTTTCCGGGTGCAGCACACCGGATTCCGAGAAGGATGGTCCGCAACTGCATAAGCCACCCCTGCATGCGACTTAGAAGCGTCAGTATAAAAGATCTACGCATGAGTAGTTGGACTGGAGTTGTCGGAAATGCATTTTAATATGTGCTTCTGGTGCATGTTTAGTGATCTCGGCAAAGGAAGTGTCACAATGTATAAGTTGTCACTGCCACGGCGGTAAATGTTTTGTTGTGGGCATAGGACACAGTTCTAGCAGCGGAACACCCTTTTCCTCCCTTAAGCTTCGCACACGCAAAGAGAACGGCTTTCTCGCTGCGGGTCGATTATGGTAGAGGGTGGCAGCGGTCATATCGTTTATAGCTAAATAAGAAGGATGCTTTATGTTTGCGCGTACCTTTATAAAATAAGTGAAACTGCTATAGGATCGCTGTAGGTGAAGTGACCACAGATTCGATTCTACATAAAGACTCTGGATCGGACTTGTCCTGAAAGCACCGGTTGCTAGTCGGACACCCAGATGGTGAACGGAGTCTAGGATTTTTAATGCACTTGGCGTTGTGGAATGATAAATTATAGAGGCATAATCAAGGCCCGACCAAACAAGGCTTTTGTACAAGTTCAAGAGACACTTCCGATCACTACCCCATGTTGTACGTGATAGGAGCTTTAGGAGGTTCATCGCTTTCAGACATTTCATTTTTACATGTTTAAGGTATGTCACCACCTTTGAAAACGCATTTTTTTAAACGCATTTTTTAATTTTTATATTCCAAGAATCCCCAATCATTCAAAAATATTTTGCCGAAAGAATTATGTTTCTATCTTATTTAGTTCCGAAGTTATAGCCAATTTTCGAACATGTGGTGAACGGTTGCGAAACCGAAACTAGTGTTGTGTGCTAACAGAAACTGATAAGTTAGCGAACATCAGCGGCAAATGTTGTAATTTTTCTGTTATGTATTGGTTTGATAACTATAAACTTGTTTAAAGACAACTTAGAAGTCTTTGTTTTTTCAAACGTTGCATTAAATATCCGTAAGGGGGACGCGTGAAGCTACGAGAGAGTCTGTTGTTTACTTTGCGCGCGCTTCATGCTGCTGCTGTTAATTCTGCGTACTTTGTATTTTTTACACGTGATATTTTTAGTAGCAGTAGTACAAATATAGGCTGAACGTTTTTGTAAGCAGGTATGGCGAAGTTCAGGGTAAAAAGACGGCTGAAACGAAAGTTCATTGGCAATTGACACACTGTGAATGCTCCGACCGTCGGCCATGTGGACGGGGATGTATCGGCGAGTGCTGAGAAGCTTGCGAACTTGGACGACAACTGTGAAGCGCCGATGCCAGACCCTTTACTGCAGGGTATAGGATTATTGACATGGAGATCCTTTCATCTCTTTTTGCAATGCTCGCCTGCCCGGAATGCAAGAACACCTCGCTGAGCCTGGAGGAGTGCTCCCAGCATGGAATATCCTTCTCATATGCTGTTGTGTGTGGTGCATGCGCATATGTACACTCATTTGAATCATCAAAGAAGACAGGAAGTTCTATTGAGAACAACCTGCGTCTGGTATACGCAATGCGTCAGCTAGGCAAGGGGTATTGTGGAGCTATGACACTGGCGAAAGTCATGAACATGCCGCCGCCGCCTTGGCATTCTGCCTACCAAAAGATATCTGCAAAGCTTTGTAAAGCTGCGGAGAATGTTGCATCTAAATCAATAAAGAATGCCGCTACTGAAGTGCGTTGTGTTGTGCGAAGTACTGAATGTGGTGTGTCAGGTGACGGTACGTGGCAAAGGCGAGGGCATTCCTCATTGAATGGCTGCGTGTCTTTGATATCGATTGATACTGGGAAAATTATTGATGTAGAAGGCATGTCAAGCAAATGCAGGGCATGTCATTCGAAAAGCAAGTTGAGCCCCACAAGTGCTGAATTTCTGGAGTGGAAGGCGAACCATACTCAGTGCCAAGCCAACTATAGGAGGGTTGCACGTGACGTCATCCGCTTGGGGCGCTAGCGGCGCCTGCCTCCGCCGCCATCTTTGCGGTCCGTGGTGGCGCTCTCCCTTCAAAGCGGCGAGCAGCGGTGACAGGTTGTGCGCGCGACCGTGTGTACCTCGGTGAAATGCGGCTGGTGTACCTCGGTGAAACGCGACCGTGTGTACCTCGGTGAAATGCCTACGCGCGTGACCTCCGGGGTCCTGCAAAAGTCCGCTACGAACAAAAGGTTCACCTTTGTGGCGGCATCGACCCGTTCGATTTTAGCAGCGATGAAGCTGTTTGTGACGTGAAGTGCTATCCACGCATCGAGTTCACCGACATTAAGGACTACCTTGTTGACGGTACAAGCTTTATAACAAGGAGCGAACTTAAAGCTTACAAATCGATGGATGCCCACAATTACGTTACTAGCGGATGGGTGCAACAGCCAAGAGTTCGAGACCTCGGAGACGGCCGCCGCGTCGTCGTCGGAAACGTGAGTGGTGCACCTTATGCTTCACATTCCCCTCGCAGTGCTCGGATAAACTGTTTTTGTCGCCGCGGTAGTGTCGCTTCATAAATTTGTGCGGAGGGGCTTCGCCGTTTGCAAGCACGTGTGGGGTGATAAAAGTGGCATAGTTAGTGCTTGAGCCCAAGCCGCTTGCGATCGAAAATGATCTTTGCTGCAGGGTCCAACGACGCGCGTCGGGCAGTTGCGCGCCCAGAGATCGCCTACGGTCTCCTAGCCGATCGACCAAAAGCGGCCGTGTACTCGCATTACATCCGGACCTCAACAGGTTACCGTGTCCTAGGAACACGAGAGAACTAGCGATCGTGCTTCGAAACGAGTGCGGTTAAGAAATTTTTTTTTATCTCAAAACCTGTTAAACCTAAGGGTATCACTGTCGCGACTTAAAAGCGAAGCTTCAGGGTCCCCAAACTTTTCTAGAGTTTTGTTCTAATGCTACATTGTTTTTTGCTGTTCTTATTAGAATGAAACAGCTGCCACCTGCTAACGTTGACTGATGCTGCACCGCTTTTTCAGGTTCGACACTCGCAGGCCGTCTCCGACAAGCCGTTAGAAGCCTGGGTGCTAACAAAAGAAGATGGAGAAATCTTGAATGCACATTGCATTTGCAAGGCAGGCCTCGGGGAGGCATGCTCGCACATTGCAGCGTTATTATTTTATGTAGAGGTTGTGGTGAGGAAGAGAGATGGCAAAGTATGCACCGATGAAGAGAATGCCTGGCTCCCACCCTATGTGAGGCACCTTGAGGGCAAGCGGTGCTCAGATGTTAGCTTTGCTTCGGCACGTGCCAAGAAAGTGTGCATGGATGCTAGCAAATCAAGCCATGTTTACAGACGACAGCGCAAGGTTGTTGAAAAAACGACGGATGCAGAGTGGTCGTCATTTTTGGCAGCTTGTCATAGGAGCGGCAGCCGGCCAGTTCTATTGTCTGTGCACAGCACATATGCGGCAGATTTTGTTCCTGTTGCCATGAGATTTCCCCAGGCAATCTTGACGAACTTGTCGAAGAACGAAGCTCCAAGAACAGACGCCGCTTTAAGAGAGCACTGTGCGGAAGTAATGAGGACCCTCAGCATTGAGCCACAGGTATTGTTACCGGGCATACATTTTGTGTTGAAAATGTGGGCTTCATGTAAACTTACACAAACCAGTCGTGATATTCTGTAACCCCATGTGCATACATCTTATTCTGATTGCAGGTTACTACCCTGGTTGAAGCCGAGACTAGAGAACAAGCGAAATCTACAAAATGGTTTGCTTTCCGGGCAGGTCGCATCACAGCATCGAATGCAAAAGCTGTATGCAGGACATCCATACCTAGCCCTTCAATCTCCCTACTGAAGAAGGTCTGCTATCCTCAAGAAACACAGTTCTGGTCCCCTCAGACTGCGTGGGGTAAGGACCATGAAGAGATAGCACGAAAGGCATATGCAAGTGCCTCGGCGAGCATTCATTTGAACTTCAAGTGCGACGTTTCAGGATTGCAAATTTCGCAAGAGCAGCCATTCTTGGCTGCTACACCAGACGGCCTTGTCAGTTGCACACGCTGTGGTGACGGGGTGCTCGAGATCAAGTGTCCATACAATGGGCGCGACGGAACCGTCAGAGAGCTGGCTACCTCTCCATCTTCGTGCATAATATTGCAGAGGGGAGAGCTGAGGCTTCGTACAGACCATGCTTATTACTATCAGGTCCAGTTACAAATGCTTCTATGCAAGAAAAATTACTGCGACGTCGTCGTGTGGACCACGAAAGATTTTGTCACACTAAGAGTGTACAAGGAACCCAACATGTGTAAATCAATGGCAGAGCGCTGTCAGGTGTACTTCGAGCGTGTTGTGCTTCCTGAACTTTGTTTTAATTATTGGACGAACAAAGCCAGTGTTGACGCATCAGAAGAAGAGGTTCAGGACACTGCAACATCCAGTGACCTCCTGTACTGCATGTGCCACAAGCCAGAATCTGGCAAAATGATTAGGTGCGACAGCGGCTCATGCAAGTTCAAATGGTTTCATTTTGAGTGTGTGAACTTGCAAAGGGCTCCTCGAGCAAAGAAGTGGTATTGTGTAGAATGCAAGAAGCTGCTGAATAAGGTGTGATTGCATTCCGCTGTAATGACATTTGCAAAGTGTTCATTCATATGAGCATCATTTCACCTCTAAATGAAAGTGCTACAAAATAAAGTATAGTTTGTTTTGCACTATTCTGGTGACTGCAGTTGAAAAAGCTTCCTTGGTATCTGTCTTAATAGCTGCAATTTTATTGCGTTAATAATAGACAAGGCACGAAAAGTGCACCGAATGTGTTCACTTGAAATGCCATGTCTCTTGACATGTAGCAAAGAACGAGTAGCCCAGTGAAGTGCAGTGAAAAGGAAAGCAGGGACCTTTATTAACAACAATGGATTATACACAACTATGTAAACAATATATCTGACAGCAGCATGAACAACAATAGAAAAAATGACGAAACAAAAAAAGAGTATGCCTACGGCACATTTCAGGGCTTTGCACAATTAACCAAAAGGAACCAGAAAATCGCAGAGGTTGACTAGCGCTGCGCACACAAATGTTATTTTGTCAAGCACTGTTGCTCCGTTCTCATCTGCAGTGAGCATCTCAACTGGTAGTGTGTGCTTCAGTATGCGAAACTTGTTCCGCAGCAGACCAATAACCCTTTCGACATGTATGCGCACGTTGGCCACCCTGCGTGTTCTTTCTACTTGGAAAGCCGAAAGCTGTGGTTTGCCTTTTGTGAACGCAGGCGTTACTAACCTAGCGGAACGTATTCCCACAGAGTCTGATATTGTGAAGCCCCTGTCCGCTAGAACCATGTCGCCAGGCAAAAGATTGTCGAGCACTTTACTTCCTTCCGTTATTGCCTTGTCACTAGTGCGGCCACACCAGCCACGTGACATGAATGTTACGTTTCCTTGAGGAGCAATGCCAACGAGAAATTTCACTGTGTTGTGGTTTTTATAGGTTGACCACGTCTGTGAACGAGAGATCATTGATGAAGGCCTTTCAATAAACACTTCAAAGCAGTCGAGTATGACAACTACATCTGTGCCAAATGCTTTTCGAAATACCATTGGCATTGTTTTACGCAAGACGTCACGTTCTGGCCACACTACTGCTCTTTCAAGACGGACAAAAGCCGCGTCTAGCCACTTGTTGAACACCCTCGAGATTGTGGCGCGGGAAACATGGAACCTGTAAGGAATTCGTGTAGTTAGCAAGTTACCAGAATAAAAACAAAGTCGAAAGCAATGTAAAATTTGATCACCTGTAAGCCAAATCTTGCAATGGAACATTGAGACGGAGACAAATGAGGAAGACAAGCATCTCCTGGAACTTCGTCAAGCAGTTCAGGCTTGTATGGGATATGCCTCGTTCTAAAACCAGGAAGAGTGCCCATAACAGATTAAAGTTTGGCATCCCAGTGTAAAATTGCAGCATGTCTGGCTTCTCTTTGAGGCATTCTTCAGACAGGATGCGAGTGCGAAGCTGGCCTTTGGTGTCAACCAATTCCGAGATAAGGCGGTTATTTTCCTCTTCAAGCAGCTTGATTTGCAGCATTGTCAACTCTGTGGTTTGCCCAAAGTCAGTCCTTCCTGAAAGATTTACAAGTTAGTAACGTCGAGACGTTGTTTTTTTTACACATAAAACTGCCTGGGTCTAAAGTTTTCATGTGAATAAAATTGCATAAAACGTACCACTAATGCTGCATTCCTCCTGGATGGCCATCACGGGCTCTTCGCTGTTGTCTCCACAATCAAGTGGCGTGGGAGGTATGCTGTCATCATCTGAGCAGGCTTGCAGCGGCTGGAACGGCTTGTGCTTCTTTTGCAGCCTTTTCAAATGCCTTGTGTGTCTGCAAAAAGTAGAATTTTGTCATTAACTACAGCCTGCACATAAACAAATCAAGACATATAAAAAATATGGTGCTTTCACATTAACTATGAACTAATGAGCGTTCTTTGGCAATCCTACCGGGACGCTGAACTGCCACTGTCTCTTGGATTTCCATATCCAAGATGAAGAGATGGCGCCCAGTCCGGATCGGCTTCAGCCATCGCGTAAGAAGGGCGTCCTGCGAAATGCAAAGAGCGGCGGTGATATCAACGTTAATGTGCTTAGCTGACCATTCCCTCAACAATCAGCGACGCAGTGCGCTCTTGTCTAAACGATGCGTAAGCAGTCAGTAACACGCCGGCCCTACCTAGAATGAAATCCGCTGCTTTAATTGGATGCACGTTTTGTGGACGCGACAAAAACGAAGTGCTTGACATGAAAGCGACAGTAATTTACCAAGCTGTTCAAGCGTGCAGTTGCAACTTTTACCGCTGATGTGCTTAACTGACTGCTTCGTAAGCAGCGATCCCGGACGTAGCGCACGCGCTCGTCTCCTGCTGGTAAACACGTTGCGAAAACGTTTTTCAACACGGCATACAGCAAAAGCCAACGTCTTTGATGTTGCATAGGTTCTGAAAACTTACCGGAAATGAAATGTTTACCGCACACACGGTAGTGGGTTGCCGAGCCATCCAAGTCTTTTCGATTGATGCGTCGGAGCCACTCCGCTCTTCGTCGCTGCGTGACGTCTTTCGTGCGCTTGCATTGGTTCACAATAACTTTAGGTATGGAAAAAAAGCCGACATCAGACGCGTTCTCATCACCAGGCTTCTTTTTCGAGTGGTTGTAGCAACCAAATACGGCACAGTTCACCATTGTTTGACCTCAAGAATCTCGCACAGACGCGCACCCGCGATCACGCTCATGTGACTGCTTGCCGGGCCGGCCGGGCGAGGGGAACCACAAAGATGGACGCGCTGCCTTTTCGACGCTCGCGCCATCTCGCGGGCCACGCCCATGTGCAACCCTCCTATACCGGTAGTGCTGGTGGTATGGAGGCAGTAGGGCTCTACCGGATGTTTGAGCGTGCAGAAAGAAGTTGTGGTTTGAAATATGTAGACTTCTATGGAGATGGCGACTCCAAAAGCCATGCGGCCATAAAGGACATATATGGGCCAAATAGTGTGCGCAAACTTGAGTGTATCGGGCACGTGCAGAAGCGTGTAGGATGCCGCCATGAAAGCTCAAAAAGACTGTTCACGGACTTGGAGGGAAAATTAACAGATGTTCTAATTGACAGACTGCAGAACTATTATGGTATTGCCATCAGAACAAATGTGGGAGACTTGCAGGCAATGAAGCAAGTCACATTAGCGAGCTTGTTCCATTGCAGTTCCACAGATGAAACTCCAAGGCATGGTCTGTGCCCTCTTAGCCCTGAGAGTTGGTGCGGTTTTAACCGACGGAACGCACTGGGAAGTGGATACTACAAGCACAAGGGAGGCCTATCTAATGAGGTACTTAACAAAGTGAAGCCTGTGTACGCTGACCGTTGCACGGATGAGCTTTTGAAGAAGTGCCTGCACGGGAAAACCCAAAACGCCAACGAGTGCTTCAACGGTATGATTTGGCAACGGGTTCCCAAAGACGTTCACATGAGCCTGCCCATCCTACTTTTTGGTTTATACGATGCTGTGTGCCACTTCAATGATGGTAACAAAAGTGTACTGGCTATTCTGAAAGAAGCAGGCATCAAACGTGGCCACTACACTATCGTAGCATGCTACACTAGGGACCAGCACCGTGTAAGGAAGGCCCAGTGTCAGTCGACTGGCGAAGCAAAACAACATTGGAAGAACAGACGGGCAGCAACAAAAGCTAAAAAAGAGCTCATGGCATCTAAGGAGGGCCCTACCTATGTGCCTGGTGGATTTTAACTGTGTAGGGCGCCATCATCCTGTTGTACAAGCATTGAAAAACTTTAAACTCGTTTTGCTCAAAACTTGATTTTTTGCACTTTTTTGTTACACCAGCAGTTGTAACTTCATGACCAATAAATCTTTTTCAATGAAACTTTGTATGTTCGTTCCTTTATTACTGAACTGTGCAACGAACTAAGATCAATAAAAAGGATGGTAGTTTTTATGTAAAAATGCTTTAGTTGAAGCATTGCAGGAAAAAAACACCATTTTTTTTTGTTTTCCTTGGTATTTTTACTGTAACTTGATTCCCAATAATCAAATGGCGAAGATCCTAGTTCATTGCACAGTACCATGAGTTGGCTACCTTTGTGCCAAAAACTTTATAATTCCGGCGCTCCGTTCTCAAGTTATGACTGTTCACGTAAAGGCCAAGTTTGGGCAATGTTTTGTAAATAACAAATCCAATTCTGATTTTTTTCACCCTTTTCTGCACATGAACATCATTTAAAAAGATCCATTATAAGCCCATTTTAAAATAATATCGTAAAGATCAAAATTTTAAAAACTTTACAAAAAGGTGGTGACATACCTTAATATGGGGAATAAACGTGAGCTTAGAATCTAAAGTGGTTCCTAGGAATTTATGCTCGCAGCTCACAGAGAGTTGGCCTCTCTTGATCGCAATATTTGGTATGGCATAGCCCCTCGTTTGTTGGAGAAGAGTACGCAAGTACTTTTCTGGGTGTTTATTTTAAAACCATTCTCATTCGCCCATTTAGAGAATTTATTCATTCCAAGCTGCACTTGTCGTTCGCAGATAGACATATTGCATGATTTGAAACTCATCTGCACATCATCCACATACACAGAATAAAACATCGCGCTTGGAATGACTGACTGCAGGGAGTTCATTTTTACAAGAGTGTGCAACTAAGCATGCCACCTTGCGGAACACCAGTCTCTTGGGTAAATGATCTAGAGAGAGCATTTCCCACTTTTACGCGAAAGGTTCGGTTAGACAGATAACTTTTAATTGTGTTTAGCATGTTCCCATGGATGCCCATGGCGGCAAGATCGCGTAGAATCCCGAATCGCCATGTGGTATCGTACGCTTTCTCCAGGTCTAAGAATACCGAAAGTACAAACTGCCTATGAATAAATGCATCTCTGATGTATGTCTCTATGCGAACAAGGTGGTCTATTGTCGACCTCCCCTCTCTGAAACCGCACTGAAGCGGGTCTAGTATACTGTTACTTTCTAGGAAGTGGGTTAAGCGCCGGTTTAACATTTCCTCATATAGTTTGCTTAAACAGCTTGTTAACACTATTGGCCTGTTTGTAGCTGGCGGCCAAGGACGGGTCTCTGCCTTGTTTAGGTACCGAGATGACTATCGCTTCTTTCCATGACAATGGAATATATCCAGCTTCCCACATGGTATTGAAGAGGGTTAGGAGCGTTTTTAGTGTTTCTGGGTGAAGATACTTGACCATTTCGTACGTTATAAGATCGCCACCTGGCGCCGAGTTGTTGCAGTACGCAAGAGATGCCTTAAGTTCAGCTAATGAAAATGGACAGTTGTAAGCCTCCCTGGATGGCCGTTTAGATTTAAGGGGTTGCCGCTCTTCGCGTTCTTTGAATCTTAAGAACGTTTCTGTGTAGTGCGATGCACTTGAGACGTATTCAAAGTGTTCGCCTAGGCAGTTTGCCTGCTTCTCCAGGCTCTCCCCTCGGCTACTTACCAAAGGTAGGGGGTGTGACTCCCGACCCATTAACTTGTTTACCCTATTCGAAACCTTCGTTTCGTCGGTGTAAGAATTTATACCGGAGATGTACCTATTCCAACTTTCTTTCTTTGCAAGACGACGCGTTCTTCTGGCTTGGGACTTGACCTGTTTGAAATTGTTGAGGTTTTCAGCCGTTGGGCAATTTCAGAATAGTCTCCAAGCTTTATTTTGTCTATTGCGTGCTTTCCGACAATCGTCGTTCCACCATGGGATGCGACGTTTATTGGTCATTCCGTTGGTTTGCTTGATACATTTCACTGCAGCGTCAATAATAAAACCTGTTAGGTATGCTACAGCATCGTCTATATTAAAATCAGCAATCTCATCTCCGTCTAAAAATGTAATTTCTCGAAACAGTTCCCAGTTGGCTGACATGGTGTTCCAGCAAGGAAAGTCAGGCGAGCACGTATCTTCTTTTGTTAACTTTAACATAATCAGGAAGTGGTCACTCCCAAAAGAGTTCTTGAGAACGAACCACTCCATATATGGAATTATAGCACTCGAGACAATACTCAGGTCTATAGAAGAGTATGTGTTGTGTGTAGTGCTATAATACGTTGGTTCTTTTTTGTTTAGTAGACATGCACCTGACGAAAACAGAAAGTGTTCTATTAGACGTCCTCGCGCATCTAAACGGGAGTCGCCCTATAGGGGATTATGTGCATTTAGATCGCCAACGACTATATATGGCGGAGGAAGTTCATCAATGAAGCTTTGAAATTGTGTCTTTGAAAGTTGATAGCACGGGGGAATGTAAATAGAGGTAATTGTTAGTAGCTTCCCGAACAGCACTGCTCGAACAGCAACTGCCTCAAGAGAAGTTTGGAGGTTTAATTGCTTACAGGCAACACCTTTATCAACTATTATAGCGACACTGCCCGACGAAGCGGCAGCATCGTCACGGTCTTTGCGGAAGATGGCATAATGCTTTAGAAAGTTTGTTTGTGTGGACTTGAGATGTGTTTCCTGAACACACAGCACCTTCGGAGTATGTTTATTAAGAAGTTCTCTAATATCATCGAGGTTATGGAGAAGTCCTCTCACATTCCACTGTAAGATCTGTGTATCCATTTTAGATGTGTTTTGTGCTGTGTGCTCAAGAATGAAAAGTTAGCTCATGGACCCTTTCCAGGGGCCATGACACGAGAGTTTTCTTTTTTGGATCGGTCGACGGAGTCGCGCCGATCCTTAGGCGCTGGCTGCGCCCTCACGCTCGGTGTTGTGTCCATTGCCTCTTGCGAGGCGCTGCGTTTGTTTTGAGGGCCTCGCCTCAAAAAACGAGACCTTCGCGGCCCCCAGCCCGGAGGTTGGTGGGTCCTTCTTGGATAGCGGGGCAGCACTGGCTGCAACCGCCGAGGGGGCGGATGGCGTTACCGCTGGCTCACTACGTGTGTTGCAGACAGGCGCCGGGGGCCGTCGTAGCGCTGCCCCCTCACGCGCCACTTTGGCAAAGCTGGTTTCTGGTAGGCAGGACACCTGCCTTCGTGCCTCCTTAAATTAAATGTTTTGTTTTACTTTGTGACCATTTCCTTTGCTTTTTTCCAGCATGGGCATGACCGCGAGTACGCGGCATGCTCCCCATTACAGTTCGCACAGTGAAGAGAGTTTTCACATGCATCTGATGTGTGTTCTTCAGCACTGCATTTCGCACAAGTTAGGCGGCCTCGGCAGTTGTGTGAACTGTGGCCGAACCGCTGGCATTTGAAACATCAATCAATTAATCAGTTTATTATCATGTCATAAAAGGATGTTACAGGGAGTAAAATATACAGGCGAGGGTCCCAAAGTACAAGACTGCAATGGGACCCTCGGTGATGATTACAAATAATAAAAGCACAAGCAGCTGTTAGAATCGTGGAAACAAAAATATATAAAGCAGAATGAGAACAAAAAGGCATGGAATCAAAAAAACAAATAATACAGCATAAAACAACACAAAGAAGATAGATCAATTATTTAACAGGTACTCTTTTAATGAGTTTTTAAATGAAAATAAAGAAACTTTGCATTTTAGTGAAGTGGGCAAATTATTCCATATGGTGATGGTACAGAAGAGAGAAGATGATTTACCATAGTTAGTACGAACCTTAGGAAGTAAAAAGTTATTATTAGCCGCAAACCTGGTTGTGTTAGTATTAACTAACATCTTAGGATCAATGAAATTAGCAGAAAGTTGATTTCTTATTTGTTTATGCAGAAACTTAATTAGATTAAACCTGAATAGATAGCTAACAGTTAAGATTTTATTGCATTGAAGAAAGGGAGTGGCGCTACTGTCGCGAGAACAGTTAAAAATAGCGCGAATAGCTCGATTTTGTAAATGTTGTACGGATGAAACATGACGCTGGTAAGTATTCCCCCATGATGCTATGCCATAAGTGATATGAGAATGAATGAATGCGAAGTAAAGTGAAAGGAGTGCTTTATGAGAAAAATATGAGCGAGCTTTGAATAATGCGCAAATGCCAAATGCTGCCATTTTTCTAATGTGAGCAATATGGAGAGTGAAGTTAAGGTTAGCGTCGAGGTGAACGCCAAGAAAAGACGCTGTCGCTGATATTAATCACATGAGTGTGAGTGTCAACTGTGAGCTGTGGTGAGGAAGTTAACTTGCGTTGAGCTGATCTAAAAACCATAAACTTAGATTTATTTAGATTAATAATTAAGAAATTTTCCTGGCACCATTTTGACACGCTACACAGTACAGCATTTAATTTATTAGTGACGTTGTCAATACATCTACCAGCAATGGAAATGGTAGTATCATCAGCATATAAAATGCAGTGAGCCATCTGTATAATGTCAGGAAGGTCATTAATGTAAAGTAAAAAAAGTTACGGACCCAGTAATGACCCTTGAGGAACCCCCTGATTTATTGTTTTAGTAGAAGAAAATGAGCCCGATATGTAAACAGTATGCTTTCTGTTAAGGAGGTAACTGTTTAAAAATTTGAGGGATGGACCTGTAATACCGTATGATTCAAGTTTCTTGGATAATATAACATGATTAATGGTATCGAATGCCTTTGTGAAGTCTAAGAAAACTGAGCCTACTACAAATCCTGCGTCTATGGAGTGTTTGATGAATTCTGATAGGGAAAGAATAGCAAGGTTAGTAGAACTTCCAGCGCGAAAGCCAAATTGACAGGGCTTCAGTATATTAAATTTATTAA